TGATGAAAATTTTGTAACTGAATTCCTATAAAATCAGGCAGTACAAAGATATCAGTAGTTTTTTCGAGTTTCATTATAGTTTTCAAACTTTTTTTGTTCGTACCATGACAAATAACCGTGAAAAAAAAAAAAAAAAAAAAAAAAACCGTAATCATTAAATTATTTTATTTATTATTGAATAAACACTTGGACTGTACCTTCATCAACCGAGGGGTTTGTGTGAACTGGCGATTTAAGCTCGGTGCTATTGTTTCCTTCTTGACTCCTGGCTCCCATTGCAGCCCCTTCTTCTGGACTGTTGCTTCGGTCTTCCAAGACCTGTGAGTTTACATCGTCGTTTTATGGTGATAGCCAGCCACGTGGTTCTTTAAGCCACCAGTACACGGCCATACATCGGCTGTGGGCCCCTCCCCATGAGCTTCAGTGGCCCAAAACGTATCCCCGGCCATTCATAGACGTTCTTAACGGCGCACCGGCCCCAAACTTTTCGGACTAGGTGACGAGTTTCTTTTCAACGGGGCTGGAGCTGTGTACTGGTGGTTTAATCTATCAGCACACCCTGGCCTGACGGCACCGCACAGGGCGCCGAACTTTGCCAAGCCACGAGTGTCACATTCTCTCTTGTGGCTCACACAGCCAGTCATTTTGCCCAATAGACCCTGGTGAAAAGATTTCACACAGACAGTCCCCGAAGTCCCAGTCCCAAGATCCTAGTTGGTCCCAGTCCCAGGCTCTCCCAGTAGGGTAGGTCGTCGGGTCCGTAGGTCGACGCATCGTAGCTCAGTAGGCCACAATACCGAAGCGTAGCAGGTCGGTAAAAGTCCACCGGTACCTGCAGCGGAAGTGAAGTCCCATAGTCCAAATTTGAAGCAGCATCCCAAAAGAGACGGGAAGAAACACCAATTTCGGCAAGGCAGAGGCCGTAGAGGCCGTGGGCGACCGATACCGGTCCGAAGCAGGCACGAACAGTCAAATGCAACTATATTTAGCTGCTACAGTGCCAAGACACATCAGTTGTTCATTCACAAAGTTGCAGAAGCCCTTCTTGTTGCTTGCACGACAGTGCGCCTTGGACAAAGGGCAAGCTCCGGCGGAGGAAGCAAGCACCCTGACAGCAAGAGTCAACCATATCAACCATAGCCAGGATAGTAGGGAGGAGGAAGACGACGACCACATAACCGCCAAGGTTCAAAAGTGATACATCCCAGTTTCATTCAGGGCAGATCCTAGGAAGCAGGCGAGAGAGAGAGAGAGAGAGAGAGAGAGAGAGAGAGAGAGAGAGAGAGAGAGAGAGAGACCAGATACCAGGGAAGGGGGACTTGAGAAGATACCTGAGTGGGGAAGCAGCATTGAGTCGCGGCTGTGGCTGCTGGATACTTGAACTACTAAATTGTAATATACGATATTTTCGAGCAGAATTACATGTGGCGCTAATCGATGTGTCATCTCTCGGGTGTGGTGTGAACTTCATGCGAATGCTCTCATCTTGTGTGTGCAAGTTTGATTCGAATTGTGAGGTTCATTGCCCTAGCCTCTGAAATTTTAGGACCACGCGATGAAGAAATCTTGCAAGGCCGGGATCGTTAGGATTGTGTACTGGCAGTTCACAGTTGACCAAAATATTCAGGCCAGGATCGTTAGGAGTACGCGATGAAGAAATCTTGCACGCCTTCTATTCAGGGAAGGAAGGTAGCAACCTCAGCGTCCACAGGTGAGATAATCTTGATCAAAATGTTCACGGCATAATAAAGGTTCTGCCTGCAAAGCATGGAAAGCACCTTTCTTCTCAGAACACCGGGGGAGGAAAGGGGAGGGGGGGGGGGGGGGGGGGGGGGGGGGGGGGGGGGGGGGGGGGGGGGAGAAGACCGCAGGGGGGCAGGGGGAGGGAGCACCAGGTGGAGACGTAATATTGCAACTTTAAAATAGCGACTATTCAATGAACTTGCCTTCCTCCCCATCATGTCCTCAGCGCCAACATCAATATGTAGGCAACCTTGTCCACAACAGCTTACCCTCAATCCTCCCAACTTTTTACTACTACTATTTTTTGGGATCCTCCCAAATCTCAGCCTGCTGTTGCATGAAGGTGAGTGCCGTTCCTGACAAGTGAAAGGCACAGGGAAAAAAAAGAAAAAGAAAAAAAAAAAAAGAAAAAGAGAGAGAGACGCTGTCATTCTCATATCATGAAGGACTCAGGAATGAAGTGTAATTCTCATGCAAAGGTTAACCATATAACCAAATAGGAATTTTAAACCACCAGTACCTCGCTCAGCTATGGGCCGCGGGCACTCCCATATACGCGCCGCAGCTCTAGGGGGGTCGTTCAAGGGAAGGCCGGGCTCCGCTTCCCTAGGAACGACACACTTGAGAAAACAAAAAAAAAGAAAGAAGCGAAAAAAAAAAAAAAAAATACACAAACGGACAAGAAGT